GCGCATCTTCCTCCACCACTCCTCAGTGCCATACAGCGTGCCCGCAGCCACCTCAACTGCAGGGATTACTGAAGAGGAAGTGAAGAGTGTGCAGGCAGCATGGGCCAACGCCATCAAGAGTATTTCCAAGACCTATCTTGACGGAGGCGACTACGTTGCAGCTGCTGCCAAAGCAGCCGGTGAGCTGTATGGCTATGGACACACAAATGTGCTGTTCAAGCCAACCAAGGCAGCTGAAGCACAGTTTCGACCCACAGCCTCCGATGCCATGTCCTACTTTGTTGGGCACAAAGCTGTGGAGAATGGTTATGGTGAGGATGCTGGTTTTGCCATCAACGGTGGAAAGGGATGGTCAAACGTGCTTTTTGACAACCACCAAATTGATGTTACTGGCAATGTTGCCATTGCCATGGGCAACTACTTCTTCACCAGTGCTGCAGATGGAAGCAAGACCAAAGTTGAGTACACTTTCGGCTACAAGAAGAATGCGGACGGCAAGGTGCGCATCTTCCTTCACCACTCCTCAGTGCCATTTGTGGCAGAGTCCAAAGTGCAGTCCCCAAGTTTGGTCGCAGCTCTGGAGTCAACAGTTGCTGGAGCATAGATGAATGTTTTGGTGGCATCTTTAGTGCCTTTTTTCGTAGCAGACAGCAACTTGAAACAGTTGCCTGGTCTGGTGCTTTGGGAAAGCTTTATTGCACTTTTCGCCATGTTTGAGGTTTTCAGGTTTGTCCTTTGTCCAGCTTTTGCCTCAAACATTTTTGTCTAATATCAAATTGATTTGTCTAATTTGATTTAATTTGTGCATTTGCCGGACCTAGAAGTCGGCAAGGGGGGTAAATCATTCCCACCAGAGGTGTCTTTGAAAGTTTTGGGAAGAGCCAATGGGTCAAAGGCCTAAACTCTTCAACCAAGCAGCCAGCACATTGCATATGCTTTGCTTGGAGACCCTTCGGATTCTCGCAATTGCGCGTCTCAAAAGTTTCGCCAATTTAGAGTCTCGTAGTCTCTTGAGTGGAGTGCATTTCGAAGGTTTAGAAGAAGACCGTCACTCCTACACCATTTGAGAGCGACTGTAAGACTTGGTGTCTGCCAGGATCTGATGAATGGATGGTGAGTTTTGGTAAAGGCTTGGACATGAGCAAGATGCGCTGACACTGCCCACGACTGTTTGTTGCAATAGATGGCCAAAGACTTGAAAGATGAATATGGAAGATGCTTGTTCAAGAGAACCCAAAACCACCCGGCATTGGTGAAAGTTGCTTCAAATGATTTTGGTTAATTTGCCATGCTTAGTCTTACTTTCGACGATTTGATGTTTCAGTCTCTGTTGTACTGTACCGTCCTGTACCATCCTGCACTTTATTGTACCATCCTGCACTTTCTTATACCATACTGATTTCGATACTGTGATACGGTGTACGTGTTTGAACATGGGGCTTTGTGGAGTCATTGCAGGTTGGATTCGGATTCGTGCTGGGCCTTGACGATTTCTGCAAGGTGCGCTCCCTCAGAGTGACAGCACGATTTGTTCGAAGAGAAAGGACCTATCGTTTTCGAGTGTTCTTGCCAAGTAGTACCGCACAAGGTGGTGGCGGAAGTTTCAAAGATAGGAAACCTATGGGAGAGGTTGGTTGTTGTGAATCACGGATGGAAGAACGAATCCACAGATGGACCGAAAGGTGGTTGGAGTTGTGTTTTTTGGAGTGGTTTTATGTTTATTCTGCACATGTTTTCCAGGTACCTTGGAAAAATCATAGAGATTGTGTTCAGGGTGACCCCTTCGCGGGGAATATGTACTCTGATCCTCTCTTATCCACGTTTATCCACTCTTATCCCACTCTTATCCACGCTTATCCACTCTTATCCCACTCTTATCCACTCTTATCACTTATCCCACTCTTATCCCCCCACTCTTGTTCAACTCCTATCCACTCTTATCAACTCTTATCCAACTCTTATTCAATCTGTTATTAGAACCACATGTTGGTTTGGAATATTTGTTTTTTTAATGGCCAGTCAGACTTCATGACTGACTAAGGATGATCACTATCACTGACTTGCAGTTCATCTCCAGCAACTGGCCCAGAAAGAAAAAGGAAACTGATGATTCAAAATCCAAAGAACCCATGTCTCCAAAACTGTGTTTCCAAAGGAAACAAAAATTAAAAATGCAAAGGGATTAAGGATGGCACATTGAAGCTCAAGAAGAGCACTTCCAAAAATTATCCCGGCAAGAGACCCCAAACAGTGTGGGGGAGTGGGAGCATAATGCATGATCATGTGAATGATGATGATGAGGATGATCAGGTGGAGGATGATGATGTAGAGAAGGATGATGATGATGATGACGATGATGATGATGATGATGATGATGAGGATGACAATGCGGAAGATGTCGTGGAGGATGAAAAGGTGGAGGATGATGATGTAGAGAAGGAAGATGCAGATGATGTTGAGGAGGAAGACCGGTCCCAAGACCGGGACCCACAGTGTGCGAGCCTGAGCAATCGAAATGCATGTGGAGATTTCACAAGAGCCACTTTATACGGCAATTTACAGGAAAAATGCCATGCCCCGGATGGAGCCCAGAACGCGGATACACACTTTGTGCGAGCCTGCCCAATCGAAATGCACATCAACATTTCACAAGAGCCATTTTATACAGGAATTTACAGGAAAAAGGCCACGCCCCAGAGTGAGCCCCCTCATCAAGCACCGGCCTTTACACCTACCGTAAGAACCCTTCAGTGTGGACACATTGTTTGGGGAACAAGACAAGACAAGACAAGGCCGCGCCCCAGAACCGCCGCACAGACTTTGTGCGAGCTTGCCCAGCCGAAATGCACGTCAACATTTCGCAAGAACCATTTTATACGGCAATTTACAGGAAAAATGCCGCGGCCCAGATGGAATCCAGAACGCGAACCCACGTTTTGTGCGAGCCTGCCCAATCGAAATGCACGTCAACATTTCACAAAAGCCATTTAATACAGACATTTACAGGAAAAATGCCGCGGCCCAGATGGAGCCCAGAACGCGGACACATACTTTGTGCGAGCCTGCGTAGTCGAAATGCACATCAGCATTTCACAAGAGCCATTTTATACGGAAATTTCCAAGAAAAAATGCCGCGGCCCAGATGGAGCCCAGCGTTCAGAACGAGGACACACACACACACTCACTTTGTGCGGGCCTGCCCAATCGAAATGCACGTCGACACTTCACAAGAGCAATTTTACACGGAAATTTGCAGGAAAAATGCCGCAGCCCAGATGGAACCCAGAACGCGGACACACGCTTTGTGTGAGAACGCGCAGTCGAAACACACGTCAACATTTCACAACAACCATTTTATACGGCAGATAGCGGGCACACACTTTGTGCGAGCCTGCGCAGTCGAAACGCATGCAACATGTCACAAGAGCATACAAGAGCCATTTTACACGGAAATTTACAGGAAAAATGCCGCGGCCCAGATGGAGCCCAGAACGCGGACACACACTTATTTGCGAGCTTGCGCGGTCGAAATGCGCGTCAACATTTCACAGGAGCAAACTTATACGGAAATTTACAGGAAAAATGCCGCGGCCCAGCTGGAGCACCCTGATGAAGCACCGGCCTTTACACCTATCGTAAGAACTCCCAGAGTGGACACACCGTCTGGGGAAATGGGAAGAAGACGGACACATTTCAACTGAGTTGAATAAAGGTGCAAAAAACGCTGTGGTTTCAGGTTGTGTTGAGTGTTTAGGTTCGGCCGTCCAAGTTGTGAAACCCGCATGAATTTTTTCATTTGGCAGCTTCAACTCTTATTGTTAAGAGCAAATAAGAGCCAGTAAGAGTGCCAAGGAGGTCACCCCCAACACCATCGCCTTAGCATCCTATGAAAAATGATCTTATCCGTTTTCCTGGAAATCAGATTTCCACAACAACAGAGCAACAAAGTGAAGCGGTTCTACCTAATATCGGGGGAATCCAGTAATAGACGAGGAGTAGGGGGCATCGAACCATCATCACGGGGATTTCTAAAGGAGGGATACTGGGGATAGAATGGGATACATCAGCTAGCACCCACCAGATTGCATTGTTTGCTATAAGTGCTGTACTGTAGTACTCACTTTGAGACAAACCTGTTTTACATTAATGAATCTAATGCAGACAACCATGACGCAAAAAAAAAAATTCTCATGTTTTTGTTTTTGCTATGCACGTGGGCACAAAGAATCCTTTTGGGAGTCGAGGTCGGTTTTTTACCTTCAATGTAGCAACTGAAACTACTTGTTCTTGGGCGGTTCTGCAAAGTTGAGGCGACACAGAAAAAAAATGTCTTTGTGTGGAAATTGATGCAGTTCGTTGTTGAGGCTGTGTGGTGGAAGGTTTCTCCATGAGGAAACTTGTTTTGGATGTGCCGCATGGAAATGTGGTGCCAAATCATTGGTGGTTGATGGGTTGGGGGTTTTGCTCTTGGCATTTTTAAAAATTCAGTGGGGATATGCCCAGCAAACATCATCTAATTCTATAATCCAATGTGGGGATGTGGGGCTATAATAGGCATTATCAGTCATAGTGATTATGCAATCCTACATGATATTCCAACGTTATCATACAATTCAGATTGCTATAGTTATAATCCTGTGATAGTAATTGTGTAGTACCCTCTGATAGTTTAGCCTGGCCATGGAAAAATCTAAGATTTTTAGATGACCCGAGGTGATTCGATGAAAAGGTGCCAGAAAACATTGGGTGTGGGTGACTTTTCTCACGAAGCAGTTCTGCTTGGCTGAAATTTTCCGCGAATTTTTCCGCTGCGCAGGGCACAGTGGCGCAGCTGTGCAAGATGCAAAACCAGGCCCACCGAAGAGTTTCTTCCTTGAACCATGCACTTTTTCTGGTCGAGATTCTCAATTTCAGCAGAATTCTTTGCCATGAGAAAATGGATTGAGATTGAGTATGATTATATAAGTTGATTAAGTTGTTGAATTTGTGCATCCGAAGCTATCATTTTGACCGAAGGATCCACTAAAGATTTTTCTGCTTCCATTGTCCTAGCATCCAGCCATGTTCACTGATCCGACCGTGAGCCTTGGTGTATCGGAGGAAGAGGTTCTTGTGGCACAAAAGGCTTGGTCAGATGCAATCAAACACATTTCCAAGACCTATCTTGACGACGGCGACTACGTTGCAGCTGCTGCCAAAGCTGCTGGTGAGCTCTACGGCTATGGGCACACAGATGTGCTGTTCAAGCCAACCAAGGCAGCTGAAGCACAGTTTCGACCCACAGCCTCAGATGCCATGTCCTATTTTGTTGGGCACAAAGCAGTCGAGGAGGGTCATGTTGAGGATGCTGGTTTTGCCATCAACGGTGGAAAGGGATGGTCGAACGTGGTTTTTGATAACCATAAAATCGATGTCAGCGGCAATGTTGCCATTGCCATGGGCAACTATTTCTTCACCAGCGCTGCAGATGGAAGCAAGACCAAAGTTGAGTACACTTTCGGCTACAAGAAGAATGCGGACGGCAAGGTGCGCATCTTCCTCCACCACTCCTCAGTGCCATACAGCGTGCCCGCAGCCACTCCAATTGCAGAGATTACTGAAGAGGAAGTAGAGAGTGTGCAGGCAGCATGGGCCAATGCCATCAAGAGTATCTCCAAGACCTATCTTGACGGAGGTGACTACGTTGCAGCTGCTGCCAAAGCAGCCGGTGAGCTCTACGGCTATGGGCACACAAATGTGCTGTTCAAGCCAACCAAAGCGGCTGAAGCGCAGTTTCGACCCACAGCCTCCGATGCCATGTCCTATTTTGTTGGGCACAAGGCTGTGGAGAATGGTTATCTTGAGGATGCTGGTTTTGCCATCAACGGTGGAAAGGGATGGTCAAACGTGGTTTTTGATAACCACCAAATCGATGTCAGTGGCAATGTTGCCATTGCCATGGGCAACTACTTCTTCACCAGCGCTGCAGATGGAAGCAAGACCAAAGTTGAGTACACTTTCGGCTACAAGAAGAATGCCGACGGCAAGGTGCGCATCTTCCTCCACCACTCCTCAGTGCCATACAGCGTGCCCGCAGCCACTCCAACTGCAGAGATTACTGAAGAGGAAGTAAAGAGTGTGCAGGCAGCATGGGCCAATGCCATCAAGAGTATCTCCAAGACCTATCTTGATGAAGGTGACTACATTGCAGCTGCTGGCAAAGCAGCTGGTGAGCTCTACGGCTATGGCCACACAGATGTGCTGTTCAAGCCAACCAAGGCAGCTGAAGCACAGTTTCGACCCACAGCCTCAGATGCCATGTCCTATTTTGTTGGACACAAAGCTGTGGAGAATGGTCATCCTGAGGATGCTGGTTTTGCCATCAACGGTGGAAAGGGATGGTCAAACGTGGTTTTTGATAACCACAAAATCGATGTCAGCGGCAATGTTGCCATTGCCATGGGCAACTACTTCTTCACCAGTGCTGCAGATGGAAGCAAGACCAAAGTTGAGTACACTTTCGGCTACAAGAAGAATGCGGACGGCAAGTTGCGCATCTTCCTCCACCACTCCTCAGTGCCATACAGCGTGCCTACAGCCACTCCAACTGCAGAGATTAATGAAGAGGAAGTAAAGAGTGTGCAGGCAGCATGGGCCAATGCCATCAAGAGTATTTCCAAGACCTATCTTGACGGAGGTGACTACGTTGCAGCTGCTGGCAAAGCAGCCGGTGAGCTCTACGGCTATGGGCACACAAATGTGCTGTTCAAGCCAACCAAAGCGGCTGAAGCGCAGTTTCGACCCACAGCCTCCGATGCCATGTCCTATTTTGTTGGGCACAAGGCTGTGGAGAATGGTTATCTTGAGGATGCTGGTTTTGCCATCAACGGTGGAAAGGGATGGTCGAACGTGGTTTTTGATAACCACCAAATCGATGTCAGTGGCAATGTTGCCATTGCCATGGGCAACTACTTCTTCACCAGCGCTGCAGATGGAAGCAAGACCAAAGTTGAGTACACTTTCGGCTACAAGAAGAATGCCGACGGCAAGGTGCGCATCTTCCTCCACCACTCCTCAGTGCCATACAGCGTGCCCGCAGCCACTCCAACTGCAGAGATTACTGAAGAGGAAGTAAAGAGTGTGCAGGCAGCATGGGCCAATGCCATCAAGAGTATCTCCAAGACCTATCTTGACGGAGGTGACTACATTGCAGCTGCTGGCAAAGCAGCCGGTGAGCTCTACGGCTATGGCCACACAGATGTGCTGTTCAAGCCAACCAAGGCAGCTGAAGCGCAGTTTCGACCCACAGCCTCAGATGCCATGTCCTATTTTGTTGGACACAAAGCTGTGGAGAATGGTCATCCTGAGGATGCTGGTTTTGCCATCAATGGTGGAAAGGGATGGTCGAACGTGGTTTTTGATAACCACAAAATCGATGTCAGCGGCAATGTTGCCATTGCCATGGGCAACTACTTCTTCACCAGCGCTGCAGATGGAAGCAAGACCAAAGTTGAGTACACTTTTGGCTACAAGAAGAATGCGGACGGCAAGGTGCGCATCTTCCTCCACCACTCCTCAGTGCCATACAGCGTGCCTACAGCCACTCCAACTGCAGAGATTACTGAAGAGGAAGTAAAGAGTGTGCAGGCAGCATGGGCCAATGCCATCAAGAGTATCTCCAAGACCTATCTTGATGGAGGCGACTACGTTGCAGCTGCTGGCAAAGCAGCTGGTGAGCTCTACGGCTATGGGCACACAAATGTGCTGTTCAAGCCAACCAAAGCGGCTGAAGCGCAGTTTCGACCCACAGCCTCCGATGCCATGTCCTACTTTGTTGGGCACAAAGCGGTCGAGAAGGGTCATCTTGAGGATGCTGGTTTTGCCATCAATGGTGGAAAGGGATGGTCGAACGTGGTTTTTGATAACCACCAAATCGATGTCAGTGGCAATGTTGCCATTGCCATGGGCAACTACTTCTTCACCAGCGCTGCAGATGGAAGCAAGACCAAAGTTGAGTACACTTTGGGCTACAAGAAGAATGCGGACGGCAAGGTGCGCATCTTCCTCCACCACTCCTCAGTACCATTTGTGGCGGAGTCCAAAGTGCAGTCCCCAAGTTCGGAGGCACCTTTGAAGTCAAAAGTTGCTGGAGCATAGATTTAAGCTCTGAGATGAATGCTTTGGCGGTATCTTTAGTATTTTTTAGTACCATTCTTCGAGGCAGACAGGGACTTGAAACAGTTGCCTAGTCTGGTGCTTTGCGAAAGCTTTTTTCGACTTTTCGCCACGTTTGGGGTATTTAGGTTTGTCCTTTGTCCAGCTTTTGCCTCAAACAATTTTGTCCAGTAATGGATTGATTTGTACAGATTTGACTCAATTTGTGCATTTGCCGGACCTAGGAGCCGGCAAGAGGGGTGAATCATTCCCATCAGAGGAGGTGTCTTTGAAAGTTTTGGGAAGAGCCAATGGGTCAAAGGCCTAAGCTCTTCAACCAAGCAGCCAGCACATTGCATATGCTTTGCTTGGAGACCCTGCGGATTCTCGCAATTGCGCATCTCAAAAGTTCAGGCATTTAGAGTCTCGTAGTCTCTTGAGTGGAGTGCATTTCGAAGATTTAGAAGAAGACTGTCACTCCTACACCATTTGAGAGCGACTGTAAGACTTGGTGTCTGCCAGGATCTGATGAATGGATGGTGAGTTTTGGTAAAGGCTTGGACATGAGCAAGATGCGCTGACACTGCCCACGACTGTTTGTTGCAGTAGATGGCCAAAGACTTGAAAGGTGAATATGGAAGATGCTTGTTCAAGAGAGCCCAAAACCACCCGGCATTGGTGAAAGTTGCTTCAAATGATTTTGGTTAATTTGCCATGCTTAGTCTTACTTTCGACGATTTGATGTTTCAGTCTCTGTTGTACTGTACCGTCCTGTACCATCCTGCACTTTATTGTTCCGTCCTGCACTTTCTTATACCATACTGTACCACATTGTGCCTGATTCGATACTGTGATACGGTGTACGTGTTTGAACATGGGGCTTTGTGGAGTCATTGCAGGTTGGATTCGGATTCGTGCGCCGCCTTGACGATTTCAAGGTGCGCTCCCTCAGAGTGACAGCACGATTTATTCGAAGACAAGGGAAACTTAGATTCCAATTGGTCGCCATGGTTGTCAAATTTCTGGATGGTCATGAGTCAAGTATGGGAACGTTGATCTTCAAGGTTTCGCCTGTTAATCCTGTTAAGACATGTACTCCTTTGGATCTCTTCTGGGGATCAAGAATCATGAGTGGCAAAGTTTAGCGAAAGTCCTCCTACATGGGTTGACTGGATTGACCGACTGCTCACCCTGCATCCGAAGCTATTGGGACTAAAGGTGCTTTGTGCTCCTTGTGTGCGAGTAGTCTGCTCCCGCTCCCTGTGTGTCAGTAGCAGCAATGTTCACGGCCTGCCTTCAGCCAGCCATTTCAACCGCTTCAATTGCAGAGATTACTGAAGAGGAAGTAGAGAGTGTGCAGGCAGCATGGGCCAATGCCATCAAGAGTATCTCCAAGACCTATCTTGACGGAGGTGACTACGTTGCAGCTGCTGCCAAAGCAGCCGGTGAGCTCTATGGCTATGGCCACACAGATGTGCTGTTCAAGCCAACCAAAGCAGCTGAAGCGCAGTTTCGACCCACAGCCTCCGATGCCATGTCCTATTTTGTTGGGCACAAGGCTGTGGAGAATGGTTATCTTGAGGATGCTGGTTTTGCCATCAATGGTGGAAAGGGATGGTCGAACGTGGTTTTTGATAACCATAAAATCGATGTCAGCGGCAATGTTGCCATTGCCATGGGCAACTACTTCTTCACCAGCGCTGCAGATGGAAGCAAGACCAAAGTTGAGTACACTTTCGGCTACAAGAAGAATGCCGACGGCAAGGTGCGCATCTTCCTCCACCACTCCTCAGTGCCATACAGCGTGCCCGCAGCCACTCCAACTGCAGAGATTACTGAAGAGGAAGTAAAGAGTGTGCAGGCAGCATGGGCCAATGCCATCAAGAGTATCTCCAAGACCTATCTTGACGGAGGTGACTACGTTGCAGCTGCTGGCAAAGCAGCTGGTGAGCTCTACGGCTATGGGCACACAAATGTGCTGTTCAAGCCAACCAAAGCGGCTGAAGCGCAGTTTCGACCCACAGCCTCCGATGCCATGTCCTACTTTGTTGGGCACAAAGCGGTGAGAAGGGTCATCTTGAGGATGCTGGTTTTGCCATCAACGGTGGAAAGGGATGGTCGAACGTGGTTTTTGATAACCACCAAATCGATGTCAGTGGCAATGTTGCCATTGCCATGGGCAACTACTTCTTCACCAGCGCTGCAGATGGAAGCAAGACCAAAGTTGAGTACACTTTCGGCTACAAGAAGAATGCGGACGGCAAGGTGCGCATCTTCCTCCACCACTCCTCAGTGCCATTTGCGGCGGAGTCCAAAGTGCAGTCCCCAAGTTTGGTGGCAACTTTGAAGTCAAAGGTTGCTGGAGCATAGATTTAAGCTCTGAGATGAATGCTTTGGTGGTATCTTTAGTATTCTTTAGTGCCTTTTTTGGAGGCAGACAGGGACTTGAAACAGTTGCCTGGTCTGGTGCTTTGCGAAAGCTTTATTGCACTTTTCCCCACGTTTGAGGTTTTCAGGTTTGTCCTTTGTACAGCTTTTGCCTCAAACATTTTTGTCCAATATCAAATTGATTTGTCTAATTTGATCTAATTTGTGCATTTGCCGGACCTAGGACCCGGTGAGGGAGTGAATCATTCCCACCAGAGGAGGCGTCTTTGAAAGTTTTGGGAAGAGCCAATGGGTCAAAGGCCTAAGCTCTTCAACCAAGCAGCTAGCACATTGCAGCTTTGCTTGGAGACCCTTCGGATTCTCGCAATTGCGCGTCTCAAAAGTTTCGCCAATTTAGAGTCTCGTAGTCTCTTGAGTGGAGTGCATTTCGAAGATTTAGAAGAAGACCGTCACTCCTACACCATTTGAGAGCGACTGTAAGACTTGGTGTCTGCCAGGATCTGATGAATGGATGGTGAGTTTTGGTAAAGGCTTGGACATGAGCAAGATGCGCTGACACTGCCCACGACTGTTTGTTGCAGTAGATGGCCAAAGACTTGAAAGGTGAATATGGAAGATGCTTGTTCAAGAGAGCCCAAAACCACCTGGCATTGGTGAAAGTTGCTTCAAATGATTTTGGTTAATTTGCCATGCTTAGTCTTACTTTCGACGATTTGATGTTTCAGTCTCTGTACCATCCTGCACTTTATTGTGCCGTCCTGCACTTTCTTATACCATACTGTACCACATTGTGTCTGATTCGATACTGTGCTACGGTGTACGTGTTTGAACATGGGGCTTTGTGCAGTCATTGCAGGTTGGATTCGGATTCGTGCGCCGCCTTGACGATTTCAAGGTGCGCTCCCTCAGAGTGACAGCACGATTTATTCGAAGACAAGGGAAACTTAGATTCCAATTGGTCGCCATGGTTGTCAAATATTCTGGATGGTCATGAGTCAAGTATGGGAACGTTGATCTTCAAGGTTTCGCCTGTTAATCCTGTTAAGACATGTACTCCTTTGGATCTCTTCTGGGGATCAAGAATCATGAGTGGCAAAGTTTAGCGAAAGTCCTCCTACATGGGTTGACTGGATTGACCGACTGCTCACCCTGCATCCGAAGCTATTGGGACTAAAGGTGCTTTGTGCTCCTTGTGTGCGAGTAGTCTGCTCCCGCTCCCTGTGTGTCAGTAGCAGCAATGTTCACGGCCTGCCTTCAGCCAGCCATTTCAACCGCTTCAATTGCAGAGATTACTGAAGAGGAAGTGAAGAGTGTGCAGGCAGCATGGGCCAACGCCATCAAGAGTATTTCCAAGACCTATCTTGATGGAGGCGACTACGTTGCAGCTGCTGCCAAAGCAGCCGGTGAGCTCTATGGCTATGGCCACACAGATGTGCTGTTCAAGCCAACCAAAGCAGCTGAAGCGCAGTTTCGACCCACAGCCTCCGATGCCATGTCCTATTTTGTTGGGCACAAGGCTGTGGAGAATGGTTATCTTGAGGATGCTGGTTTTGCCATCAACGGTGGAAAGGGATGGTCGAACGTGGTTTTTGATAACCATAAAATCGATGTCAGCGGCAATGTTGCCATTGCCATGGGCAACTACTTCTTCACCAGCGCTGCAGATGGAAGCAAGACCAAAGTTGAGTACACTTTCGGCTACAAGAAGAATGCCGACGGCAAGGTGCGCATCTTCCTCCACCACTCCTCAGTGCCATACAGCGTGCCCGCAGCCACTCCAACTGCAGAGATTACTGAAGAGGAAGTAAAGAGTGTGCAGGCAGCATGGGCCAGTGCCATCAAGAGTATCTCCAAGACCTATCTTGACGGAGGTGACTACATTGCAGCTGCTGGCAAAGCAGCTGGTGAGCTCTACGGCTATGGGCACACAAATGTGCTGTTCAAGCCAACCAAAGCGGCTGAAGCGCAGTTTCGACCCACAGCCTCCGATGCCATGTCCTACTTTGTTGGGCACAAAGCGGTCGAGAAGGGTCATCTTGAGGATGCTGGTTTTGCCATCAACGGTGGAAAGGGATGGTCGAACGTGGTTTTTGATAACCACCAAATCGATGTCAGTGGCAATGTTGCCATTGCCATGGGCAACTACTTCTTCACCAGCGCTGCAGATGGAAGCAAGACCAAAGTTGAGTACACTTTCGGCTACAAGAAGAATGCCGACGGCAAGGTGCGCATCTTCCTCCACCACTCCTCAGTGCCATTTGTGGCGGAGTCCAAAGTGCAGTCCCCAAGTTTGGTGGCAACTTTGAAGTCAAAGGTTGCTGGAGCATAGATTTAAGCTCTGAGATGAATGCTTTGGTGGTATCTTTAGTATTCTTTAGTGCCTTTTTTCGAGGCAGACAGGGACTTGAAACAGTTGCCTGGTCTGGTGCTTTGCGAAAGCTTTATTGCACTTTTCGCCACGTTTGAGGTTTTCAGGTTTGTCCTTTGTACAGCTTTTGCCTCAAACATTTTTGTCCAATATCAAATTGATTTGTCTAATTTGATCTAATTTGTGCATTTGCCGGACCTAGGAGCCGGTTAGAGGAGTGAATCATTCCCACCAGAGGAGGTGTCTTTGAAAGTTTTGGGAAGAGCCAATGGGTCAAAGGCCTAAGCTCTTCAACCAAGCAGCTAGCACATTGCAGCTTTGCTTGGAGACCCTTCGGATTCTCGCAATTGCGCGTCTCAAAAGTTTCGCCAATTTAGAGTCTCGTAGTCTCTTGAGTGGAGTGCATTTCGAAGGTTTAGAAGAAGACCGTCACTCCTACACCATTTGAGAGCGACTGTAAGACTTGGTGTCTGCCAGGATCTGATGAATGGATGGTGAGTTTTGGTAAAGGCTTGGACATGAGCAAGATGCGCTGACACTGCCCACGACTGTTTGTTGCAGTAGATGGCCAAAGACTTGAAAGGTGAATATGGAAGATGCTTGTTCAAGAGAGCCCAAAACCACCCGGCATTGGTGAAAGTTGCTTCAAATGATTTTGGTTAATTTGCCATGCTTAGTCTTACTTTCGACGATTTGATGTTTCAGTCTCTGTTGTACTGTACCGTCCTGTACCATCCTGCACTTTATTGTGCCGTCCTGCACTTTCTTATACCATACTGTACCACATTGTGCCTGATTCGATACTGTGATACGGTGTACGTGTTTGAACATGGGGCTTTGTGGAGTCATTGCAGGTTGGATTCGGATTCGTGCGCCGCCTTGACGATTTCAAGGTGCGCTCCCTCAGAGTGACAGCACGATTTATTCGAAGACAAGGGAAACTTAGATTCCAATTGGTCGCCATGGTTGTCAAATATTCTGGATGGTCATGAGTCAAGTATGGGAACGTTGATCTTCAAGGTTTCGCCTGTTAATCCTGTTAAGACATGTACTCCTTTGGATCTCTTCTGGGGATCAAGAATCATGAGTGGCAAAGTTTAGCGAAAGTCCTCCTACATGGGTTGACTGGATTGACTGACTGCTCACCCTGCATCCGAAGCTATTGGGACTAAAGGTGCTTTGTGCTCCTTGTGTGCGAGTAGTCTGCTCCCGCTCCCTGTGTGTCAGTAGCAGCAATGTTCACGGCCTGCCTTCAGCCAGCCATTTCAACCGCTTCAATTGCAGAGATTACTGAAGAGGAAGTGAAGAGTGTGCAGGCAGCATGGGCCAACGCCATCAAGAGTATTTCCAAGACCTATCTTGATGGAGGCGACTACGTTGCAGCTGCTGCCAAAGCAGCCGGTGAGCTCTATGGCTATGGCCACACAGATGTGCTGTTCAAGCCAACCAAAGCAGCTGAAGCGCAGTTTCGACCCACAGCCTCCGATGCCATGTCCTATTTTGTTGGGCACAAGGCTGTGGAGAATGGTTATCTTGAGGATGCTGGTTTTGCCATCAACGGTGGAAAGGGATGGTCGAACGTGGTTTTTGATAACCATAAAATCGATGTCAGCGGCAATGTTGCCATTGCCATGGGCAACTACTTCTTCACCAGCGCTGCAGATGGAAGCAAGACCAAAGTTGAGTACACTTTCGGCTACAAGAAGAATGCCGACGGCAAGGTGCGCATCTTCCTCCACCACTCCTCAGTGCCATACAGCGTGCCCGCAGCCACTCCAACTGCAGAGATTACTGAAGAGGAAGTAAAGAGTGTGCAGGCAGCATGGGCCAATGCCATCAAGAGTATCTCCAAGACCTATCTTGACGGAGGTGACTACGTTGCAGCTGCTGGCAAAGCAGCTGGTGAGCTCTACGGCTATGGGCACACAAATGTGCTGTTCAAGCCAACCAAAGCGGCTGAAGCGCAGTTTCGACCCACAGCCTCCGATGCCATGTCCTACTTTGTTGGGCACAAAGCGGTCGAGAAGGGTCATCTTGAGGATGCTGGTTTTGCCATCAACGGTGGAAAGGGATGGTCGAACGTGGTTTTTGATAACCACCAAATCGATGTCAGTGGCAATGTTGCCATTGCCATGGGCAACTACTTCTTCACCAGCGCTGCAGATGGAAGCAAGACCAAAGTTGAGTACACTTTCGGCTACAAGAAGAATGCCGACGGCAAGGTGCGCATCTTCCTCCACCACTCCTCAGTGCCATTTGTGGCGGAGTCCAAAGTGCAGTCCCCAAGTTTGGTGGCAACTTTGAAGTCAAAGGTTGCTGGAGCATAGATTTAAGCTCTGAGATGAATGCTTTGGTGGTATCTTTAGTATTCTTTAGTGCCTTTTTTCGAGGCAGACAGGGACTTGAAACAGTTGCCTGGTCTGGTGCTTTGCGAAAGCTTTATTGCACTTTTCCCCACGTTTGAGGTTTTCAGGTTTGTCCTTTGTACAGCTTTTGCCTCAAACATTTTTGTCCAATATCAAATTGATTTGTCTAATTTGATCTAATTTGTGCATTTGCCGGACCTAGGAGCCGGTTAGGGAGTGAATCATTCCCACCAGAGGAGGTGTCTTTGAAAGTTTTGGGAAGAGCCAATGGGTCAAAGGCCTAAGCTCTTCAACCAAGCAGCTAGCACATTGCAGCTTTGCTTGGAGACCCTTCGGATTCTCGCAATTGCGCGTCTCAAAAGTTTCGCCAATTTAGAGTCTCGTAGTCTCTTGAGTGGAGTGCATTTCGAAGGTTTAGAAGAAGACCGTCACTCCTACACCATTTGAGAGCGACTGTAAGACTTGGTGTCTGCCAGGATCTGATGAATGGATGGTGAGTTTTGGTAAAGGCTTGGACATGAGCAAGATGCGCTGACACTGCCCACGACTGTTTGTTGCAGTAGATGGCCAAAGACTTGAAAGGTGAATATGGAAGATGCTTGTTCAAGAGAGCCCAAAACCACCCGGCATTGGTGAAAGTTGCTTCAAATGATTTTGGTTAATTTGCCATGCTTAGTCTTACTTTCGACGATTTGATGTTTCAGTCTCTGTTGTACTGTACCGTCCTGTACCATCCTGCACTTTATTGTGCCGTCCTGCACTTTCTTATACCATACTGTACCACATTGTGCTGATTCGATACTGTGCTACGGTGTACGTGTTTGAACATGGGGCTTTGTGGAGTCATTGCAGGTTGGATTCGGATTCGTGCGCCGCCTTGACGATTTCAAGGTGCGCTCCCTCAGAGTGACAGCACGATTTATTCGAAGACAAGGGAAACTTAGATTCCAATTGGTCGCCATGGGTTGTCAAATATTCTGGATGGTCATGAGTCAAGTATGGGAACGTTGATCTTCAAGGTTTCGCCTGTTAATCCTGTTAAGACATGTACTCCTTTGGATCTCTTCTGGGGATCAAGAATCATGAGTGGCAAAGTTTAGCGAAAGTCCTCCTACATGGGTTGACTGGATTGACTGACTGCTCACCCTGCATCCGAAGCTATTGGGACTAAAGGTGCTTTGTGCTCCTTGTGTGCGAGTAGTCTGCTCCTGCTCCCTGTGTGTCAGTAGCAGCAATGTTCACGGCCTGCCTTCAGCCAGCCATTTCAACCGCTTCAATTGCAGAGATTACTGAAGAGGAAGTGAAGAGTGTGCAGGCAGCATGGGCCAACGCCATCAAGAGTATTTCCAAGACCTATCTTGATGGAGGCGACTACGTTGCAGCTGCTGCCAAAGCAGCCGGTGAGCTCTATGGCTATGGCCACACAGATGTGCTGTTCAAGCCAACCAAAGCAGCTGAAGCGCAGTTTCGACCCACAGCCTCCGATGCCATGTCCTATTTTGTTGGGCACAAGGCTGTGGAGAATGGTTATCTTGAGGATGCTGGTTTTGCCATCAACGGTGGAAAGGGATGGTCGAACGTGGCTTTTGATAACCATAAAATCGATGTCAGCGGCAATGTTGCCATTGCCATGGGCAACTACTTCTTCACCAGTGCTGCAGATGGAAGCAAGACCAAAGTTGAGTACACTTTCGGCTACAAGAAGAATGCCGACGGCAAGGTGCGCATCTTCCTCCACCACTCCTCAGTGCCATACAGCGTGCCCGCAGCCACTCCAACTGCAGAGATTACTGAAGAGGAAGTAAAGAGTGTGCAGGCAGCATGGGCCAATGCCATCAAGAGTATCTCCAAGACCTATCTTGACGGAGGTGACTACATTGCAGCTGCTGGCAAAGCAGCTGGTGAGCTCTACGGCTATGGGCACACAAATGTGCTGTTCAAGCCAACCAAAGCGGCTGAAGCGCAGTTTCGACCCACAGCCTCCGATGCCATGTCCTACTTTGTTGGGCACAAAGCGGTCGAGAAGGGTCATCTTGAGGATGCTGGTTTTGCCATCAACGGTGGAAAGGGATGGTCGAACGTGGTTTTTGATAACCACCAAATCGACGTCAGTGGCAATGTTGCCATTGCCATGGGCAACTACTTCTTCACCAGCGCTGCAGATGGAAGCAAGACCAAAGTTGAGTACACTTTCGGCTACAAGAAGAATGCCGACGGCAAGGTGCGCATCTTCCTCCACCACTCCTCAGTGCCATTTGTGGCGGAGTCCAAAGTGCAGTCCCCAAGTTTGGTGGCAACTTTGAAGTCAAAGGTTGCTGGAGCATAGATTTAAGCTCTGAGATGAATGCTTTGGTGGTATCTTTAGTATTCTTTAGTGCCTTTTTTCGAGGCAGACAGGGACTTGAAACAGTTGCCTGGTCTGGTGCTTTGCGAAAGCTTTATTGCACTTTTCCCCACGTTTGAGGTTTTCAGATTTGTCCTTTGTACAGCTTTTGCCTCAAACATTTTTGTCCAATATCAAATTGATTTGTCTAATTTGATCTAATTTGTGCATTTGCCGGACCTAGGAGCCGGTTAGGGAGTGAATCATTCCCACCAGAGGAGGTGTCTTTGAAAGTTTTGGGAAGAGCCAATGGGTCAAAGGCCTAAGCTCTTCAACCAAGCAGCTAGCACATTGCAGCTTTGCTTGGAGACCCTTCGGATTCTCGCAATTGCGCGTCTCAAAAGTTTCGCCAATTTAGAATCGCGTGACCGCGTGAGCGATAGACAGTGATACGTAGTACTGCAGTTCGTTTGAAAGAAGACTGTCACTACCTTTTCAGCTGGCCGTGTGGACTATTGTGGTCTGGGACTGCGATTCAGTTTGTTCAAAGGCTTGGTCATGAGCAAGATTTTCTGAGGGTGAAATGATCAAAAAAAACAGTGAAGCATGACAGGAGATTGCTAGGTTGCCTTGTTGAAAGGGGTTAGCACATACCATGTCATTGCGGGTTGTGAGTGTCTTCATATTTCATGGAAGACCCTTCAAACCAGGTTTGGTGAGCAACTTTGCCAATGATGTTCCCGGAGTGTGGAGGCATCACGAAAGCGATTGCTTCTGCTAGCTAAAGTCCCTCTTGCTTTAGCAAGGTATTGGCAGGGGCTGAAATCGTCGTGTGATACTTCTGCGATACCTTCGCAAGACCATCTGGATTTTCAGGGTTGCTCGAACCTATTTGATAGGTGAAGCATAGCCACAAGAGGGTTAATTGAAGTTACTGTAATAGGTTATTTTACCCATATTATCCATATTTTACCTCTTTATCCACACATTTTACCACCCTTGTATCTGGGGTGTTGGGAGCAGCCCCGGTTTTCGTCTGTTTGATGCTGCTGTGTTTGGCGTGAATTTGCGCTTAGCTGATTTGGGATGGCAGTTTCAGAGAAGATTGGGCATTTTTTCACCTGGGTGATGTGTCTTTCACATTCCTTTCCAGTGGTCCAATCCGGTTGGTTGCTGTTTTCCTCGCGCGGGGGAGGTCTGAAGTGAGATGGCTGAATATTTTTGCACTGCGAGCTTCAGACAGGTCACTTGGGGAGGTCTTGAAGTTTTCCTTTGTTGAAACATGTGGGCTCAGTGGTGTCCCTCAAAAACTGAGCTAAACTTTGAGTACTGACTGAGTAGATGAAGTTGACTAAGTTGACAGCTTGAAACTTGTGCTTTCTGTTCCCAGTGTGTCAGGTGTCGAAGGTTTCGCATCAACAAAGACAGTTGATGTCCACTGCACAGCGAAGGTTGGGACGTTGGAAGATGGTCCAGGGTTCAGAGGGTTCCATTTAAATGACCTGGAAAAGAATAGGACCCCACAAACTGTGGTACATAGTGTGAACGTTGTACAAGATAATGTTGCCTATGGATGTTTCTTGGCCTTCGATTGAGCCAAAAAAAATGTCCATGCTTTGTCCTAAGCAGAGGAGTTTGATCAGACGGATCCAGACTGGTCCGAGGCATTGCTGTGACAGTGTTCGCACCTTTCGGGTTACCATCCTGTACATCGCTGTATGGGACAGGGCAAAGTCGGTACAGAAATGGCTTTGAAAAGCGGGAGCTGCTTGGTTGGAGATTGGAGAGGCAGATGTGGACGGTTGTGAGATGAAACAAGGGTCAAGTGGTGGCTACGTTTTTAGTTTTCAAATGTTTTTCCCATGTCCACTTTACTTGGTCTTATCCTTTGGTAGTTTCACAAAAGGAAAGGCTGGTTATGAAATTCAATGGCAGGGGCCAAAACCTGGGCAGTGCTGAAGGGTCTTGTAGCACTCGGCAACTTCAAGACAGTTTCAAAAGACTGCCAGTGGAACTTGCCCCCCTGCAGGAGGTATCAGGTATCAGAAACCGATGCCGTGAAGCTTGTGAGATTTCCAGCCGTGCAAGATGGAAGTACGTTTAGGACAGTTTTCTCTTTCGAATTCTATCTCAAGATTATTTTTTAAACCTTTCCTCTGGCATACCCCGTGCTTTGGTTTCGTTCACCCACCCTTGGGACTGAAGTTTCCCCAACCTTGACCTCCGTTGTTCATGGTCTGGACAGAGATGCAAGTCGATGCAAGGTGACTTTTCGTCCAAAGTGAGTACCTTCGCAAAGAGGGTTGGAGTCTTAGAGCAAGACATGACCCAGACACTGCAACAGGACTTTCAGATCCAAACAGTCCAAACAGTTCAACCAGAAGTGCTCCTCAATTTGTCATAGATGTGATCAGATTTGCCTTGTGGGGCGAGAAATCAGGGAGCATTGCTTTTGTTGCCAGCTTAGTTCGCGGTCCAAGGTGACAACGAAGCAAGTCATTGCAAACCGACAACGCCATGCAGCTTCCAGGTTGGCATTGAAACATTCGAACTTGTCGAAATTCTTTCCTCATCGTGGACATCAGCAAATCTTAGTGTCCATCATGGCGCAAGAGAAGAGTCTTTTGCAACTAAAGTGGTCTGAATTGTATCAACAGTGCTTTGACAGGCTGGGTCGATGCGTTTCTCCGGCTTTGCTGCTTGCGTTGTTTCAATGAGCTGCCTTGGCCTCAGCAGCGAGCTTCCAACAATCGTCACAACTGTTTCTACGGTGTGAAAAGGCAAGGGGTTCTGCATGGACATCATATCGAACTTTGGTTGGTTCTTGAACGCCAAAAGCCACAATGAGAATGATATCCCAGCCCGAAGATATACAGTGATATATCTTGTACGTACAATGTCAAGGTTGGACTTGGCATGTGACCTTTGTGGCACAGAATATGCGGACATGCGATGTGTGATGTGTGTCCAACAAGGTTCAATTGACGTTCACAACAAGCAAGGGGCAATCTTTTCACCAGTGACTAGTACATGGTGTAGACGACATTTTCCCAGTATCTACTCTTCTGTCTTGAAAAACAATATATAATTTGTTTCTTTGCTTGGAACTTGTGGAGAGCAAGTAATGTGTTGACGATATAGTTGCCAAAATGGCTATGCCATTTTGGCTCAAGCTGTTCCCCCTGTGATCCAATACTTTCGAAAAGACGTTCTGATCTTCTTGTCTTGCTCATGGCGGCTTCTAGTCCAGTAGCAAGTGAGACTGGCACCGTGGGCTCCTTCTCGTTGATTGGAACAGAAATGGATGCAGGGGACGATTACATGTTGCTTTCCACACCGGTGACTGAGGCTGCGCCAGCCGAGGTTACGACAGAGTTTGAAGATGATCCCGCCATCACCAAGGAGACACTGGCTTCGCAGCTCCATGAGATGGAGAAAGTGATGGAAAACTTGGGCTTGGAACCCAAGCCGGAGACAGGTGTGGCAGCGTCAAGTGTGAAACCTCCGTCGGGGTTCGTCCAGGCTGAGGCACCGACTCCAGCTCAGACACCACAGACCTTAGAGGAGACGTTGACGCTCCACGTGGATCAGACCACAGAGACCTTCACCATCGAAGGCTGGGCACCCTTGGTTCCGGCCCTACCTCACTCTGCTGCCAAGTACTTCAGAGACATTACGCATGGTGAGCTGCGTTCCCTGTTGGACGCTTTCCGCAGTTCTCCATGGACGGCACCCTTGGTGGTCAAGATCGCAGAGGTGTATCACATCTCGAAGCGCGAGGCTGTCCACACACAGATGTTGAAACTCCGGCACACTACGCAGCGTGGGGGCTCCATGGTGAATTTGAAAGAGACGGACCCCGGAACTTCTCCGCAATTAGTCTGTTCTGATTGCAGTGCACCGTGGGGGAAGTTATCCAAATGTTTGCTTTGCCAAGGCTCTCAGCCTGTTGACCTGTCAGTGACACCTTTGTCGGTGATTGAGGTGGCCGGCCAGTCCTGGCAACTGAGGCTTACTGAGGCTGGACCAACTTGGGTCCCAACAGACTCTAAGGTCACTAAGGCCGCGGGCTTTGTGGAAGTGGGCGATCTGGGCCGACCTCCCCCTGCGGCAGCTTCGGGCGCCGGTATGGGGTTGGTCAGCTTTTCGGAGCAAGTGCCTGCCTCCCAGCGCCTGACACTGCAGCAACACGTGGTGGCCTTCGGGCAGGACGAGATCTTTCATCCAGATGGCGTGCGCCCCCCCACTATGGATGATCGAGACCCTACTCAAACTGCGGTGATCTTTCATCCGAAGACTATTGAACTGATGCGCTTCAAGGCTGACTTGCTGGCAACACCAGAAGAAGAACTCACAGAAGCGGCACAGGAGGCCAAAAAGAGGAAGAAGGAGATTCAGCATCAGCAAGAGACTGTGGCGATGGAGGATGAGCTACACACCTTGACTGCCATCCAGCAGGGTGCGCAGGAAACCCAGAATCCGGTCAGTGCCAAAATTCTTCGCCACGCTGACCTCCAGCAGTTTCGGTCCTACCTCAAGCGAAAACACGAAGAAAGTGGTCTCACTTCCTCTTATGAAGCTTTGGTGGCAGCACAGACAACACAGGACAAAGCGGCGGCTGCCAACAAGGCCCTTGACACGGAGTTCAGAGACCGCCGCAAGGCTCTCAAGCCCATCGACGTGGCGCCCTTCTCACTTTGGACCCCAACTCTGCAAGAGGCGTGGCAGAGCAATGTCTTCGCGCCGGCCATGGGACCACAAGGACCTGAACAGTTTGACATGGAGGCCCTCAAACAACCCTACCTTCGCATGAAGGAGCTCATCAAGGACAATAGGCCTCCGCTCTCCCAGGACCGCCTCATGACGGAGTTCCCAAAAACCCAACTCGACATGTACACCATGGGGAAGGAGACGGTATCTTCCCAAGAGGCCCAGTTAGCACGACTCCTTCCGCCTGACAGCCTTGAACGCAAGTACGCAATCCTTGACTCCATCTTGCAGTACCACAAAGGTGAAGTCAGAGCCTGGGGCGGAGAGTGGGAACTGCGACAGGGCCCGCTCACGGCACCTGCCTGGGCGAAACCTGCACCTACGACTGAGGTCTTGGCTTTGGAGCTCAGGACAAACCCGCTGGGCACCTCCTTCTACACGCCCAGAACCTACACGGAACAGGTGGTCCTGCAGCAGATTGCCGATGGCAAGCGACCCGACCTGGACAAGATCATTGGCTTCTTTTGGGCCCCGGGGACGGCGGTAGCTTCTGGCACCGACGATACCCACCTGGTTCGAAGGGTGCAGTCATGGGATCTCCCCTCCATGATCACGATGTTTGGACAGTCCTGGACGTTCAAAGAGATCTACCAGGCTTGGTGTGGCATGCCTCTGATCATCAAATCCATGCGCCGAGGGCAGGGAGAAGGCATCCGCCAGAAGAAGGTGGCAGAGTTGGCGGCACACCGGCAGAGGACTTCCGAGA